ATGACGTTTGTTCCCACGAAAGCCATTCCCCTGTCGACATCCTGCCTCTTTCAATAATAAAAACCGTAGGACATGAATTACACCAAAAACATGAGTCATTAAGAAACTCTGATTTATCCACCTGGGGCCCACCTGACCCTTCATTGATGTCTCTCAGGGCACTGCACTAAGATAAAAAACTGCCAGGTCATGAGTGCCGATCCTATAAAACATGGTCTAGAAAACAGTGTCAAGGCCTGCCAAACAGGCCTGAGTCCTGTCCTGGCTTTGCAGCCTCTGGACGAGTTTGACTACGGCAAGTGAGGACCACGTGACCGGGCGTGGGTGTTAAATGGGCAGCACTGCATGCACCAGCAAAGCTCTAGTCTCATTTCACAGCAAGCCTGACCACAGTGTGAATGGTGTTTCCGGAGCATTCCGAGCTCGAAGTTGGGATATGCTAACACACCTCCATTCGCAGCAGCTCTGGGAGCGGGGCCTCTTTGGCCAGCCTGGCCACATTCCCCTCTCCTCCATGCCAGCTCGTGTGGGCACTGGCAGTCCGCACAGGGCTCAGCGGAGAGGGATCTGAGGGCTCCCAGGTAGGTGGACAGAGGACGGAGCGACATGAGGGCTGTGACTCTGGGAGGAGGCGGTGCATGGGAACCACGGGGGTGTAGGAGCTGGGAGCACGGGGGTCAAAGGGGGCACCGGGCATGGGCGCTGTGGAAGGCGTGGCTCACTGCATCGGCTCTTCCCTCTGGTCTTGTCGCTCAGGCACTGCCAGATGCAGGAGTCCCAGAACCAAGCAAGAGGAATGGACACGAGGGAAGCTAGGTGGGGGCTTATTAGACATTATTCCTGCTAACTTGCATGGGGCCAGGCTGCCCGGCCAAGCAGGGTCCTAACACCTGACCACGTCTTCCAAGTACCTTTGAGCTCTGGACTAGTTCAGAGGAAAACTCAGACCTGTGACTCCAGCCATACCAAACCACATATTAAATAAATACCCTTCAGGCCACTTTATCAACTCCACTATCATCCCAGCCTGATGATTCCAGCCTGTGCCCTCTCTCATGCCCACCGCCGTCTCAGAGGGGCTGAGGAGACAAGGACTTCTCTGTGGGGGGGGGAGACTTGGTCCTCAAATGACCCCAACACATCCAGCTTCCCCATGGGATATCAGTCATTTCATAAGGACATATCACTGATTGACAGTGCTTGTCTTGGAGTATGTGTATGTGGCAGTAGAGGTGTGGATGTCTCACACTTCAGTTGAAACTTTTAGTGACTTAAAGTCCCGTTATTACAAAATCACACGCCCAAAATTCTGTGCTGTACCCCCACACCTCGTGCGTCTGCTGGCGACAATGAAGATGAGAACAGTATTAGCAATAATATGGACTTGCCTGAAAGTGTGAATTCTTCACTGGTCCCCAGACTGGAGTTCCCCCCTCTTTTTAAAATAAATTTTTTTTTAATGTTTATTTATTTTTGACAGAGAGAGAGAAAGAGAGAGAGAGACAGAGGTCAAGCAGGAGAGGGGAAGAGAGAGAGACCGAGAATCTGAAGCAGGCTCTGGGCTTGGAGCGGTCAGCACAGAGCCTGACGCGGGGCTCGATCCCATGGACCGTGAGATCATGACCTGAGCAGAAGTCGGACGCTTAACCAACTAAGCCACCCAGGTGCCTATGGAGTTCTCAAAAAAGTCCTGTAAGATCTTAATTTCGTTTCTGGATAACCAACATTAGTGAACCTTACAGCAGCTGCAGGGCACTGTCAAGCAGTTTTTATTCTTATGTTAAAATAGAAATCGTGTGTGACTGCATGGCATTTGCCCAGAATAACAAACACAGATAACATTTGCTGATCCAAACCAGTCTGTGGCCACCGTGGGCCGAGGACTCCGGCGGGTCGGGGGGCACACGCCGCTGAGTTCCTAGTGCGTGGGTCGCTCCAGTAAACTGGCCCAGACTTTCCCACAGAGTGGGCGCACACACAATCAGGCTCCTGGCAGCCTTTCTGTCTCCCACCTCATCTCTCTCTCTGAGACATATCCTGAAATGTCCGATGTGTCTAGACTCCTTTTGGGGCACAAAGCGAATCGATACTGCATTTTTTTGCCAACAAGCCCACAGACTGTAGGTTTGCTTCCCACGGACACAGCCTAGTTTCTTCTCAGAGCTAATATCACCACGCACATCAGTGCCTCTGCAGACACTTTTAGGGTGCTCCCCCCGCAGTATGTGTGCGTGTGTATACATATATATTATATATACATACGTTATGTATATATAATGTATATGTGTTATGTATATATGTATACATAATACATACATATGTATGTATATATAATACATATATATGTACATATATACATATATATGTATATATTTTAAAGGAAGCACCTGGAAGTGAAACAGTTAAGTCACAGATTAGAAAGCAGTCTTGAAAGTTTACCCATTATTCAAACAGGAACCAAGATTGCCCAGGGCTCTCAGGCCCCCAATGTCAGAGATGGGAGCATCAGCTCATAGAACCCTCCAGGGAACAACACTCAGTAGCTTAAGCTGCCACATCAACTGTGATTGATTTAAAATATTTGGGGCTCTGTTATCACACCAACACAAATATGTGTAAATGCCTTGAAGAAAAATTTCCTTTCAATGGATTTGCTGAAGCAAAAGCTCAACTTGAATTGTGAAGCAATGAACTTTTTATTTTATTAGGGAGATACTAAAAAAGATATTTTAAATCTCCTGGTTATGGATAATTTTTTAAAAAAGAAGATTAGGGTCCTGAGCCATCTAGGGTCTTTATAGCTAGGACTCCAGGACCTTTTCTTTTTGGGGTGCCTCTGGCTTGCTACTACACTGACCTCTCTGGACCTTGGGGCATGCTGCTCATGGGGCTGGTCGTGCACACAGAACATACAGTGGCCACGGGTCCCCCCCCCCGCCCCCGCTTCATTCCAGTGGCACTCTCATGTGGGGCGGCCAAGAACGAGGTGACAGTAAAACCTCAAGGTTGATTCTCCTGGGGCCCAGAAAGCAACTCAAAAGCCAGAATCCTGAGCACAACCCTGAACGCTCCGAGTCTCACCAGCCACCTTAGAGTGAGCCGTCCTGGAGGAGGGCTCCCCGGAGGGGCGACTGCCCTGGAGACGACAGCCTCGATGGGCACCTGTGTTCTGGCACGCCGGCTAGAAACAGGCTGGGGTGGTTGTGGCCTCAGGAAGGGAAATGTGCGGAGAGGAGGGACTGGAAAGGGGCTTCTGGGATGAGGGAATGCTCCACGTCTTGACTGGTGTGCGTAGTTTATACATCCGGCAAACTCACCAAAGTGAGTCCTTGCCATTGTGCTATTTGTTGTATGCAACTTACATTACAGCTTATTTTTTAAAAAGTTTATTTATTTATTTTGAGAGGGAAAGTGTGGGTGTGTGCGTGAGAAGGGGAGGGGTAGAGAGAGAGTCCCAAGCAGGCTCTGTGCTGTCAGCACAGAGCCCTATGTGGGGCTCGATCCCACGACCGTGAGATCATGACCTGAGCTGAAATCAAGAGTCAGACACTGATCCGACTGAGACACCCAGGTGTCCCTTGGAGTTTTTGTAATTTAGAAATCACGTCCTGGAACTTTATGTTTCAGAGAGCTCAGCGAAATTATGATATGTGATACTAAGCTTACATATATCTGCTTTCTGCTCTATGGTGCATAAAGCCTCCCAGTGCAGAATCCCAGCTTGAGGAGTGCATGGCACTGAGGAAAAACGACATTTTCCTGGCTTGATAATGCCCGGGGTGTCCCTTGGCCTGGCCTGGTGAATTGTCACTGCGGCCATGTGGTCTCACGCAGGTGGACTCAGAAGACGTAAGCTGTTCATCCATCAGCCCAGTGCTGGTGCATAAGCATCAGCTCCACACCTGGATCTGTGGACAGGGAATCGTCCTGGACTTGGATGGTGATACTCCCCAGTACGTGCTCCTTAACATTGTGTGAACTTGGGCAGATCACTTAAGTTCCCCTTGCCTCTCGCGGGAAAAGTCAATGATAGTGCTCCCATCAGAACAGTGCTGTGAGGGCACTCTGGGCTAAATGTTTGCACCCCCGAAACTCTCGATGAAGTCTAGATACCCTACATGATGGTGCTGGGAGGTGAGGAGGTCATGGGGGGGAGCCTCCCGATGGGATTAGTGCCCTTCTAAGGGGATGAGGAGACCACATCTGTCTCTCCCCCTCTGTGCCACAAGTGGGCACAGTGAGAAGATAGTTTCTATGAGTGAGGAGGGGGCTCTGATCTTGGACTTGCAGCCTCCAGGAGGGTGAGAAACATGCCTGTTGTTCACACCCACTCCCGTCCACAGTGTTCTGCACCCGAGCTGAGACAGACAGACAGTTACGTGAGGTAACAGGTAAGAAAGCGCTCAGAACAGTGACCGGAATGTAACAGCAACCAATACATAACCGTTAATATGAAAGTCTCATTAGCACGGAGACGGACTATAAATGTTTAAGAAGACAGCCTCCCACTCAGATTTTTAGTTATTTAATAATGCATCCAGTTGCAGTCCTCCGGCGCCAGAGGAAAACCAGGGGTAGGAAATGTCCAACAAGGCAGATGCACTCGGCACAGCTAACCGCCTGCACTGGCTTCTCTGGAAAGCTCCGCCCGTTGTTTCTTTTTCAGTTTTCCCTTCCCAGGCCAGACAAGGCACCCACCTCTTGGGAGAGGGTCCAGAAACCTTTGCATTTGCACACCTCCCAGAAGAGCACCTCCTGCCCCTTCGGCGAGGAGCCTGGGTTCTGGAAAGCCCTCCACACCTGGCCACCAGGCGAGGGCTCAACCCTGCCAGCCTGATGCTCCCGGAAGCTCCAACAGTATCTTTTTAATTCAGCAGAACTTCAAAAAAAACTGGAATCCGATTTGCAGTTGAAGTGGGAGGAAACCACCACCGCCGCCGCCCAGCATATCAGGAGCGGGACTCCAACCCCCCACGTCTGCCCCACCCGGGGTGACTCACCTTCGTACAGCCAGTCACTGAGGCCGTTGTAGATCACGCCTTCCTTCCCTGTAGACACCACGCGGATGGCCTGCTTCCCGACGTGCGCGCAGTAGTAGATGTTGTTTTCGAAGATAAATATCTAATTGGGAAGAGACGAAACGCAGTGTGAACCAACGCAGCGGTTATAAATAGGGTGCTCGTAGGAAATCTGAACTTGGGGATGTGGTTTGCACGTGTCCGGTGCATTTCTGGTTAATCAGAGACTCCAGGCTTCACACAGTTCACCCCATGCCATCATTTTCCATGAGTGGACAGTTTGTGGTCTGATACCTAAGGCCCTTTCACATCAAATTGCGTTGACTATTTCAGCTACTGTATTTTTCCTGGCAATTAAGATCGGTGAGCTGAAAAGCTAGAAATCTGGCATTTATTCATTCAATATTCATTAAAAATTATTTAGTGGCTCCTGCTCTGTGCCAATCACAGAAGGCACAGTGATTAATGGGGTGGGACGCAGAATGTGCTTTTCTTCTACTTGTAGTGTGGTAAAGAAGACAAACTTTACCAGGAAAGTGTTCTGATGGGGCAGGTAGAGCTCTGGGAACATGTAACAGGGCTCCCTAACTTAGGCCAAATGATTACCGAGGAAGTGATGGGAAAAAAATCTTATTTATTGCAGAAAAACACATCTAACACAAACTTAGTCACCATAACTGTGTTCGAGTGTCCAGCCCCGTGGCATTAAGTACATTCACACTGTTGTGCCTCCATCACCACCACCATTTCCAGAACTTTCCATCTTCCCAAACAGAAACTCTGCCCCATGAAATACTAGTCCCCACCCCTCCCCAGCCCCTGGTGACCTCCTCCCCAGAAGCATTTCACCATTTGTCTCCGTGAATCTGGCGACTCTAAGCACCTCTCGTAAATGGAATCATACAGTATCTGTCTTTCACTCAGCACACAGTCCTCAAGGGCTATGCAAGTGACAGGGTTTCGAGAAAGTGCTGCTCACGCTGTGGCTTAGGTGGACAGAGGCTCCCGAGGGCTGTCCTGTCAGGGGCACGGAGGGGGGCGGGGGGGGGGATGACAGGTGCCCCACCAGCAGCAGGAAGCCCTTGATGGCGGCCTGAGAAGGGGAGCGTCACAGTCAGATGAGAGTCTTCTGGTGACGAGAAGGCAGCGAGATGGTGGACGGGGGACCGTATGGCTGGCCTGGTCATCCAAGGGTGCTGACCAGGGGGCAGCACCCAGGAGGGTCCACTGGCTGCGCTGAGTGAACCGAGGTCTGGGCGAAGGGGTGACACAAGGCAAAGCTATTCCTGAGCCGCTGGGTGGTGGTGACCCAGGTGTGGAGAAGGGGACGGTCTGGGTCTGTAGTTCTCGAAATCTGATGCCCCAAGAGTGACCCAGCGAGCTCTCAGAAACCCCATTGACTGGTCCATCAGCCCAGCCCAATATCAGTTCGAGGGCTGAGAGCCAGGCATCAAGAATTTTAGAAAACATCCCAGAGGATTCCAGTGTGCATCCAAATTTAAGACCTGTGGCCCAGGAGAAGCCTAAGGTCTCCTGAGGCTCTTAAAGGAACAACGTGCTGTCAGAAGGCTTGTGGTGTCCAAGGTGCTGCAGCTTTGCCCACGTTTGCACATCAAATCCCTGCTTCGTGTCCGGGGGCTCTGGGCACACCAACAGCACCCGGCAAGACCGACGTCTACAGAAACAGCCGTATGGACTAGGAACGGAACTCACATCTGGTGTTTTTCTTTTATTTTGTATTTTTATTTTGTATTTTAGTGATGGGGGAGGGGCAGGCCGAATCTGAAGCAGGCTCCAAGCTCACTGCAGAGCCTGATGTGAGCTTGCTCCCACAACCCTGGGATCATGACCCGAGTCAAAATCAAGAGTTGGATGCTGAACTGACCGAGCCACCCAGGCTCAGGCTTTTAAAGAAATTCTAGAGAAAAATACTGTCAGTGTCATTTAAGATACCACAGACAAAGAGTGTTTTGCAGAGTACAGGAGAGGGTGGAAATATTAATGTCTTTTTAATTGAAAATGCAAAAGAAAGGCAATTTCCCCAGATGGTGCTCACTGACGTGATCTCAAAGGAACACCAAGTGTTAGTTTTCTGCTCAGGGCTCCTGGTGCTTACAGCATTCACTTCAACCAGAAATGAGTTGGAAAACTTCCAGACACAAGTATACATCCTAATTTAACTTCAGTAGCTGTTCTTATGAGTTTGCCTAAGGGTAAGATGTATTACTAGATTTTAACTTCTTTTATGTATTTTAAGCCTATAATAAATTTTTGAATCAAATCAGACTGTAGCCGATTAATATTTTGAGTGAGTAAAATTTGCTGTGATAGATATTAAATCTTTTATCACCTTGGTTTCATTTTTAATGAAAGGAAATGAAAAGAAACAAGTTGTATGGAAGAGTGCATTTTGCTTGGGAGATGTTTTACCTTCTCCTTTAGACGTTTAGGTTGGAGCTCAGGCCAGAGGCGAGGGACGTGGTGTGGCTCCGTGAGTGGAGGTGGGGGGCAGGCAGGTGTTGGGGCGAGTGGCTGAGTTCTCCACTCTCCATGGTTTGCTCAGAACCCAGGCCATCACCCTGGGTCCCGGTGCCTGTGTGGGAGCACCTCACCTTCCTGGCTTGTGGCCCCCGCAGTCCTTGGCCTGGCCCTCGAGATGCAAACTCAGACACTCCCCTCCTGCAGGTGGCTTCTCACAACCTAGCCTGAGGGGTTGGTGCCTCCCTGGCACATCCACAGGGAGGTGCCCCTGCTCCCATCCCCCTTCCCCAAATTCACCTCACACACTGCCGTCCTGATCAGTCTTTCCTAAAACACCGTCTTTATCGTGGCATTTTGTTACGTAAAACCTGAAACGGCTTTCTGCTAACTATGCAGTAGAGTTGAGGCGTCTGGTCTGGGGTTCAAGACCTGACTGCCTCCCTTGCTGTCTCTCCCCTGCAGGATTTATGGCTCTCCAACAACACACAGGGGTGTGAGGGTGAGAGGCAGTCCATGGGGGTTCCCGCTTGCAGACGGGAGTCTAGATTCTACAGCTTAGTCTGCCCCAGGTCCCATGAGGGCGTCCAGAGCACAGGCTGTGGGAGCACAGAGGATGTTCTAGGAGACCTGGGCCAGTTGCTGGGGTTCTGTGTGCCTCAGTTTCTTCTCCTACCACTAGAGATGGCAATAGCCTCATCTCAGGTGGATATGAAGAGTGAGTTGACAAATTCAGTGCACTGCCTGGTACAAAGGGTGGGCTCAACAGCACATCTGCTATTGCTGTGGTCGTCCTTATAGAAGCCCATTCTGTCTGGAGAGATTAGGAGGAGCTTCATGGGGGAGGTGACATTCGAGCTAGATCCTCCAGGATAATGCTTGTAATTTTGATCAAGTCCAATTTATCTATTTTTTTCTTTTTTTCTGATGTGACTTGTGCTTTTTGTGTTCCGTTTAAGAATGCTTTGCCAAGTCCAAGGTCATGAGTGTTTACTCCCATGTTTTCTTCTAAGATTTTATAGTTTTAGCTCTTAGTTCTAGGCCCTTGATCCATTTTGAGTTATTTTTTTGCATACGTTGGCCATACACTTTTCAAATACTTTATAAACATTAATTCAGATTAAGAAATAATGCTATGGACACAGGCATGAGCCTTGTTTTGAGGATGAAGACATGAGCGCAGGGAGGGTAAGTAACTTGACCAAAGCCTTGTTGGCCAGGGGTCAGCAGGGGTTCAAAGCAGGTGGTGTGGGGTCACGAAATGCCATGCCCAAGGTCACCAGGGAAGCCAAGGAGTCAGGATTGGAACCCAGGCAGGTCTGTAATCTCAGCAACTACATATAGCACGCTGCCTCTTGACAGTCATTTGTTAAATAAACAAAAGGTGTGATTTCTAACAAGAAATGAACCAGAGGCCACGGACACCTGTGCGAGCCACAGGGTCTCCTCACTCTCCCTCTGGCTATTTCTTCTTCATGAAGAAGAACATGACTGGACGGCGTAGATGCCACAGTGTCACTGTCACCAGGCTTTTCCCAGCAGATACAGCAGCCACCACATGGTGTCCCCCTACCTGGGTTATTCAGGAGAGCATGGGTCTAGTGCTGCATGAGCCACTGGGCTACACTGGCCTTGAGGCCCTACTGGCTCCCAAATCCTATCAGCAGAGGCTCTAGAATCAGTTCCAGTGAAGGGGCTGCCCACCTGTATGGCCTTCCCCGCTGTGGGCGCCTGATTGGCGGCTGGGACTCTGCAGAGTCTGTACCCAACAGCTGCTCTGGGGCCTGAGGCCACTGGAGTTCAGGCAGACAAAGCCCGCCCTCACCACCGCAGCCCTGCAACCCCAGGCACGGAGTTCTGCCCTTGAGTCTTTCTTCCAGAGAGTGTTAGACAATATCCCCCAAAGTAATCAGATGTACACACAGCACAGGGCAGTGACAAAGCATGTCCTGTGGTCCTTACATGCTGGTGTCCGAGCACAAGTACCCGCTGGGGACACGGGGTTTTCCATCGGGACAGAAGACAGCCCCCACGTCCTGCACACTGGTGATCCTGACGCCCCTCCTCAATACCTTCTCTGTCCTCCTCGCCTGGAGCTGTTTCCCCTGCTGCCTGCCCGAGGCCAGCCATCCTGGGGGCTCTGCTGGGCTCCGTCCTCCCGGAAGGGCCCGCGTCTGTTGTCCCCACTGTCCTGCCTCCGCTCACAGGCACGCACGTGGCTGCATGTGGAGCGGCTTTTGAAAGAGGGAGCACGAAGATCAGGCGGAGAGGATGAGGGAGACTGGAAGTGGGTCAGGATGGTGGCACCCCACAGGCCAGCGATGAGACCTCCACAGGGACGCCGGAGCAAGAGCAAGCTCTTTTCAGAAGTGACAAATCAGCACAGACTTGAGGAGAGTTCACTTCCTGCTTCTGCCCGGACTCGGCCACAGCGGCTGGTGGAGACGCTGACAGAGGAGCGTCAGCGGCCATGGGCCCAGGGGACACAGGGGTGGCACACCTGTCCCTCCTGAAGAATCGCTGGCCCCCAAGGCCTCAGCAGCAGAGGCCATGAAGAAAGGGCTATCCGTGCGCATCTCGGGGTCCAGCCGGGTGAGAGCCGTGGTCAGTGGCAGGTGCTGCAGC